ATCCTCTTGATTTCGGACAGTATTCTTTGTTGTGAAATCTACAGAGAAATAGGCTTGCAGATGAAGACATAAATTCAGTTTTAGACATGGGTATGAGGGGAGATGTGGAGCGACAGGTGCCTAAGAGCCCAGGAAGGAAGCGTGGCGTGGAGACAGGTTAACTGTTGTTACTACAGTGCCTGTGCAGTGTCAGTGTATCAAGGTGCTCCGCAAGAATTCCCGAAATAACCAGTCTGAGCAAACGGTGGTCTCCAGGGCAATTCCATCATTTAGAAATCTCCACCTGATCCTAGGTCACGTGAGGATCAACTCATGGCCTCCAAATTCAAAGGAACCCTCGAACTCTCAGCTTTCCAGTGACTTGTGTCCTAGGATTACCCCAGCAGCTCTGTTGGATCTTTTCCACGCTGCTCAAACCTCAGCTCTCTCACCTCCCTTCTCCTTTTCCGTAGGCGTTTAGTCTTCCTCGTTCATGAGAACAGAAGCCATCAGAGAACCCCTTCACTTGCGACAAACACATAGCATTTATCACCTACGCCGTCACCTGTGTCCACAATGCAAAGTGTCTTCTTACGGCCCTACGTTCTGGACGTCCTTCCCCTCCTACCTTCTGGAGGCTTTCTTCATTATTCCCCTTCCTCTGCACCAGCAAACTTCCTCCGCTGGCTCCCTCCCGCCAGCTTCCAGCAGCTCGAGGGTCTCCCATCTGAAGGCCCCCCACCCCCACTTCTGGAGTCGCCTCCACTCTCCACCCCTCTCTCATTTCTTTTTTCCTGCACCTATCGTGACCTGCAGCTTCCACCCCAACAGTCCACCGAAGCCATTCCTGACACCATCACCAAGATCACCTCATCGTTTAGCACCTCATCGTTGCTAAACCCGGTGGAAATCTTGTGTTTTTCTATTTGACTTTTAAATGGCTTTTTCCCTGGAGACGTCTTTCTGTGACTCCCATGACACAACGCTCCTGCCTGCGGTTTTCTCCCCGCGTCCCTGGCGGCTCCTTGCCCACAGGCTGGTCTGTGCTCTGAATGTTCTAACACCTTTCTGCCTGCCTACGGCTCTGCTCCCTTCAGCTCTTAAGACCGCCAGCTGCCAGCGACGAGCCGAGGACGTCCCAGCACCTGTCCCTCGCGAGGCTGCTTTCCTGAGCCCGACCCTCACGATCCACCACCAGACAAACGCCCTGGGTGGAAAAGCCACGACGTGGGTGGAATCCTAGCGGCAACACCCGTCGGCCTTGGCCAAGTAACGATACCGTCGGGCAGGTTTCCCGTGCCCAGAAACAGGCCGCAGGGCGGGGAGTGACCATGTGGTGCCTTCTTGTCCGAGGTCCCGCAGGAGCGTTAAAATAAGCCACCACAGGGGCGCCTGGGTGGCTCAGTCGGTTAAGCGGCCAACTTCA